AGGAATTTCCAGCTCTGATGGTCATATCTCGATCATGTAGGTAAGAGGCTAGCCAGGACAAAAGTTGACCGCGTATGCCATAGTTTTCAAGTTTTAGGAGTAGTTTGCGGTGATCGACCCTGTCAAAAGCTTTAGATAAATCAAAGAAGATTATATCGATTGTCCCTTTATTCAGAGCTGAAACCCAGTATACCAGAATCACATAGTAAGGTGCTAGTGGAACCACCGCGAAGGAAGCCGTACTGCGCCGCAGGAATGATTTTTTTTGTCAAACCAATCAAGCAGCTTATCTTTGATGAGTTTTTCAAGTATTTTTCTTGAGGGCGCTGTGATACTAATAGGCCGGAAATTGGAGAGAGTGCTAGGATGTTCGCATTTGGGTATAGAGGTCACCAGCGCTTCTTTCCAAAGCCAGGGCAACCTCCCTTGCATCAAAGACACTGAAAATTATAGAGAGAGGAAAAACTCAGAAGCTTGCGCACTTACGATACACAATCTGAGGGATACCATCATAAGAAACACTCAATCTTGCTTTTATTTTTCTCAAAACATTATAAACTTTCGTTGGATCAATCATCAAATCTGAGCAAGTAGCCGATACACGAGGAACTGAGTGGAGAGCAACAGTGATGATATTGCTAAAATTTTCAGTTTCGAAAAAAAAAAACCGGCGAAATAATTACCCAGCGCATCAGCTTTCTCCTTATCGCTGTGAGTACTTTACCATGCCCATCAGAGAATTTAGGCAAAATTTGTCGATCTTTACTTTGGTAGCTAAGATATCTATAGAGCTCTTTAACATTGCATTCAGAAATACGCCGCTCACGATTTGCTAGAAATCTCTTCATATGGTAGTTGGTACTACAAACTTTTCTATAGAAATGGTTGTTCAATGGATCAGGTAGTTGTGAGAAAAGCTTATCTTTCTGGTCTAACAGATTCTGAATATGCGACGGGTACCGCTTCAGCTTATTGTGACTGAAACGAAAAGGTACATATCTAGCAGTGGCGGACGGAGGGGAGAAGGGCGGAGGGGGGGGGCGCCCTATGTACCTTTATGGGTCGAAATTTAATAATTTTCGAAATTTACCTATCGGGTCATAGAAATGTGCAAACGACTTGTTTATTTTTGTAAATAATCAAAATAGTTTTTAAAAATTTTTCAAAAATTCAAATTATTCTTATAAAAAAATTTTTTCGAAGGCGTGGCTGACGCCACGCCCTTTTCCCAGATTTTAGGGATTGAGGACCCTCAAAAATTTTGAGAAGCACCCCAAAAAAATTTTCGGACCTTCATTTGAAAAAAATTTTGTCGTCCCCCCCCCTGCTCCGAAATCCTGTAACCGCCACTGATATCTAGCTAGAGTACGATATAGAATTGTGCAAAAGTTCTGATAGAGGTCATGTACCGATTCATCGCTCAACACTAGATCCAGTGGATGTCTAAAAGAGCTCTATTGATATTTGCAAAATCAGCATTGTTGAAATCAGGATTGGGCAGAAATAAGCTATTCTGGGAGGCGAAAGGTGTGTCAAAGCTAATGATATTGTGATCAGAGCTGCCAAAAGGAGCCATGCACTTGATGTTCACAACCTTAATGTTCGACGTGAAAATTAGGACTATAGCAGCCTTATCCTTAGTGTGAAGATTAAGGCGCTCAAGATGCAGACTAAGATTACATAAGATTGTTAGAACCTACGAAATCCGCAAGCTGTCGCCGGAGCTGGCAACTTTCCGCGATGTGTGCCAACATCGGCTGTGATGCCACCAGGTAGGGTAGATTACCGGCCCTGATATCGCATGAAGTATTTCGACAGGAGGCGCGTTTTTGGAACCCTCTATTTGTAGTCGTTCCCTCCTTGTCAAACTCGAAGATCTATGTCGAAATCTGTTTTCTAGGGCCAAAGGATGGCGCAAATAACTGTTACAATATTCCTTTGCTAGTCGTGCTTGTAACGTGCTGAGTTGCCTGTCCGCCGATATTTCATGCCAAAACGATTTCACCAAATTCAAAAAGTCTCTGCTTAGAAATGACCTTCTGCGAACGTTGAATTCAAAGAATTTTTTGTGATTGTTTTTACACGAGATATCGAGATCTGTACACGGTGTCTGCCTATCGTCGTCTCCCCGGTGTACATTGGGCGGAGCATTTGCAGACATTCCAACACATTACTGCAAAGCATGGTTCTTTGTACTCTCTAAATTGCCACGTATATATGCTGTTGCCATAGGTGGCAGAGTTGGTATCGAGAGATTACAAAGAACAATGCCTTGCAGTAGAGAGTTAACAAGCACCAAAGTGCTTACAATTAGATGTCTGCAAATGCTCCGCCCAACACACATTACACTGGGGAGGCGACAACCTATAATGAGATGTTTTTCTTCTGAGAGTTCTTTGTTTCCAGTTATTATTATTTAGCTTTTACTGTAGTGTAGGTACCTTATTTGCAGTCTCTAAGCTTTTGCCCATGCCTCAAGCTACTGGTAAGCCTGGTTCGATAGGGGTTCATTCGGTACGACTGTCATTTCGAAGGCTCCAGGCATGCATCTGGTGTTAGGGCGCACCAGCGCACACTTGACCGACTAGTATGCAATATACTTAGAAAAATTCGAAATTTTTTTTCGAACATTCGAATAGCGAATATTCTAAAAAAATTTCGAATATCGATTATCATTCGATATTCGAATTTCGAATATCATTCGGTTCTCAAATTTTATTCGATTTTTGAATATCATTCGATTTTTAAATACTATTCGATTAATTTATGTCAGTGAGACTGCCTATAAAGACCAGAAATCTAACAATAAACTATTTCGTGTAAAAAGAAAAGACACTTTTTTACGTTTAAATTAACGATGAAGATACGGTTTAGTGGTGACGTGAAGAGACTTAAAATCTAGTCGTACTCCTGTGACGGTTGTGAAAAGATTTTCCGAACCCTGAGAAAGACTAAACCTCCTTGAGAGTTGTGGATTGATATACTGGGGTCCCAACAATATGTAGATCTGTGTGCTGACATCAACTTAGACTTACGTTATAAAGCGATTTATCGATTGCTTTGCACTGTTATAAACTTACCGTAGGAAAATTGAAGAGGGTTTTAAGACACCAAGAGCCTTTGCCCCAGGAAAGGGAACCAAAAAAGTCGAAAGTCTTACATTAGACTTCTAAAGACACTCACCATATATATTAGGTGGGTGCAAAAGTTCTGTCGTTTCATTTTCAAAAATTTGTAACTTCGCCAGATTTCAACGGATTTGCTTGCTTGTAATTTTATTAGAAAGAATAGGTCTTCCGCTTTCAAGCGCTGTTTTGTGGAGCTTCTATTTCACACTGTGTGCCGAGATAAAAATGGGAAACTAAGACCATGTAAACTTTAAATGTAAATGTAGACTGTAACATTTTATGTTAGGTCACCAAAAATCTGGAATGCTGCAGAAAAATCTGAAATCGTCAGTACATATGTTTTTTGGTCTACTCTTTGCAACTGTGAAGAGTTTGTGCTGTTTGAACTTCTCCGTGAGAAGTTATGAATATCGAATTCACCATGGAAAACGCCAAAATCAATTAATTTGTGAATTTTCGCGAAAATCATAACTTCTCACAGAGACGTCCAAACAGCACAAACTCTTCACATTTGCAAAGAGTAGGCCAAAAAACATATGCACTGACGATTTCAGATTTTTCTGCAGCATTCCAGATTTTTGGTGACCTAACTTAAAATGGTGAAAGTTTACATGGTCTTAGTTTTCCATTTTTATCTCGGCACTCTGTGTGAAACAGAAGCTCGACAAAACAGCGCTTGAAAGCGGAAGGCCTATTCTTTCTAATAAAATTACAAACAAGCAAATCCGTTGAAATTTGGCGAAGTTACAAATTTTTGAAAATGAAACGACAAAACTTTTGCACCCACCTAATAGAATCTGCACTCAACCGTAATGCGTTCTTTACAACTTATGCCAGATACACCGTAACAAATGTTTTTGATCGCCTTTCACAAACGTGATTCAACATTTGAAAACTTGAAAACTCGTGCGTAATAGAACCAGCATTCGTAACAACTCTACTACACTATTAGATCCTTTTTTGGGGGAGGGGGTCTTTTGTCTTACTTCGTAGTTGCTCTATATGCTCGAAGTTTTCACTATGATAGCACAAGAAAAACAAGGGTGATTCGCTGCTGTATTCATAAGCTGAAGCCATCCCTACAAAATGTTACCGAAAGGGGTTGGCAAAAGTCTTCGTGAGAGGTATTAGCTGTCGAGCAGTAGATACACTTGGGACACCCCGTATATGTTGTGGATATCGAATTTCCGAATATTCGATGCTCATCGAATATTGAATATTCGAGGGAAATCGAATGATCGAATCGATGGCGATCGAATAATATTCGAAAATTGAGATTTTCGAATATTCGACTTCCGAATAATATTCAAAAGAAAATTATCGAATATCCATCGAGTATTAATCGAAATCTCAGATTTTCGAATTTTCGAATTTTTTGAATCATCCGAATCATTCGCATTCGAATGATTTATTCGAATAATTGAATAATCATTCGATTCGGTCCAAAGTATAGTATGCAATTATTGTCCAAGTTTAATTCGGGAGGCACCATCACTTCAGTTTTCGATGTTCTACTTTTCTAAGAAAAAATCATATTCCGAGTGTTAGACCCAGTGTCTCATTTTCGGTGATGTTACGAATCCTCATTTTTGAGGTCGTTATATTAGACGCTTCAACTTTCATTTCCTTCTTTGTGGTGCACTTTATGTGCAAGATATAAAAATAAAAATAGAACTACTGGTGGCTGGTAACCACGTTCATCTTTTTACCACTTTCCGATGTAAAGCAAATAGTGATTGGCAATCAGCGGAGTCGCAAGCAGATAAATAGACTGGACGATTATCTATTCAACGGAGCATTGGTGAAAACGAGAACAACGGTTACAATGAACAGGGAGAACACAGCACTGGCAACATTAATTACAACAATGGTATGGTAGCAAACAGCGGTAATGCAAGGTCGGTTCATTTGCGATTTAGAAAGCTGTAGTTTAGCAATACTCTCAGATAGCTCGAGGGACGTATCATAAGGCCTTGGCCATGATTAACGCGCTTTCATTTGCGACACGATTTGGCAATACTCTAATTGTCCATAGCTCATTGTGCGGTCATTCCAAATGTGCGAAGGTTAGGGCATTTTATCAATCGTTGAAGGCTGTACAGACTTTGCATTCGTGGTCTGCCAGTGCTGGATTTAAAGACATTTGACAAATTGCCAGATGGCATAGGGAATGAAATCACGTGTGGTATGACTAAGACTTAGGAGGATTTGATGCAGATGAGTATCATTGCTTATCTTATCAGTACCAAGATATATAAAGCTTCTAAACATCTTTGAAAACCATTCCTGATTTCAGCCTGCCATCACCAGGCATTGCTATGTTAGTCGATGTTGATCGCCTTCGCTCGCTACAACAAAACGAGGCCTTCAAAAAATACGCCATTGTCACTGCTTCCACTTTCATAGTACTGGTACGTTGTACGTCCTCAAGGAAAAGTGGCCATTGTGGCTCGCAATTCAGGTGGCCTTCACATTCGTGCTTTTGATGTGTAAACCGAAGGAAAAGGACATAAGAAGGGACACAAAAGCTTCGGAGTCTGACACGACCATACCAATGGCAACAAGCAGCGCAGATACTTCACAGTTTGACGAAACACCTTTGGCAGTTATAACAGTATGTTTTGCGCGTTAGTTTTGCACAAGATGTTTCAACTTAGAAGTTCAGATTATTCGTGAAGGCGCACATGCTCCAAAGAAATTCAAAAAAGAAGAAACCCGACGTTCATTTCCAAACCTCGAAAATGGACTGACAGATGTGAGTATGTAAATGCATTTAGAAGCTCTTCTTGGGGAGAGCGCGATAGAAAATCTCTGTATGAAAGAGCGGCTTTAGTCACGCTGTTTGGAAAATTTTTTGTTTTATCTTGCAGAATTTTGCAGACTCATGAAAGGAAGTATGACGGCAGCCACATTCCGAATTTTTATCATAAAGCTAACTCAAAGTTGTATGTAGGTGAAATCACCTGCAGGATTATCAGTTATGTAGGCTACCAAAAATTTGGCGACGTTCTCAGGAGCGAAACAGCGAAACTCCCGCATTTCTCTCCACGGTCTGCCGTGATGTTTAGAATTTGTTCGTACTTAACCCTATAGTGCGAACTACAAATCGAAAAAAACTTGCTTAGGGTTCTTCATTACCAACCAACAAAGGCGACGCAGGTTTTTGGCTCAAGAATATCCTGACACTGTATAAATGTTTTGGTAAAAGTAAGCATACGGCTTCTGCCTTGAAACTTAGAATTAAACTGACTGGCATGCCCAGCTTCGCCTGCACCATGGATATGACTGGCTCAACAAAGAGCAAACTTGATGAGCAACTCTAAAGGTCAACTTGTCTGCGTTTTGGCTTTCTTCTGTATCAGGGTTACAAGGAACAGATGATGCTGACCGCATTGCCGTGAATTACCGCATCTTCCTCAGCGTGTAATGGAAATGAGTTCTACCGCTATTGTTTACACAAAAGTTGGAAGGAACTGGTTTGATAGTACTTGATAAGAGTTCATTTTTCCCCGAAATCAATAAATTAATAGAAGGAATGGGATTTTCGCCGCGAAAATTAACCTACGGTGCGAGCCGGTGTCAAAAACATGTTTGCAAATTTGGCGCTGGTTGATTAACATACAAAAATTTCTAAAAAAAACCCACTAACTAACAATTCATCAGCAGTCACCTATATATTAGGTGGGTGCAAAAGTTCTGTCGTTTCATTTTTAAAAATTTGTAACTTCGCCAGATTTCAACGGATTTGCTTGCTTGTAATTTTATTAGAAAGAATAGATCTTCCGCTTTCAACCTCTGTTTTGTGGAGCTTCTGATTCACACTGAGTGCCGAGATAAAAATGGAAAACTAAGACCATGTAAACTTTGACCATTTTATGTTAGGTCACCAAAAATCTGGAATGCTGCAGAAAAATCTGAAATCGTCAGTACATACGTTTTTTGGTCTACTCTTTGCAACTGTGAAGAGTTTGTGCTGTTTGAACGTCTCCGTGAGAAGTTATGAATATCGAGTTTACCATGGGAAACGCCAAAATCAATTAATTTGTGAATTTTCGAGAAAATCATAACTTCCCACTGAGACGTCCAAACAGCACAAACTCTTCACAGTTGCAAAGAGTAGACCAAAAAACATATGTACTGACGATTTCAGATTTTTCTGCACCATTCCAGATTTTTGGTGACCTAACTTAAAATGGTCAAAGTTTACATGTTCTTAGTTTTCCATTTTTATCTCGGCACTCAGTGCGAAGCAGAAGCTCGACAAAACAGAGGTTGAAAGCGGAAGATCTATTCTTTCTAATAAAATTACAAGCAAGCAAATCCGTTGAAATCTGGCGAAGTTACAAATTTTTAAAAATGAAACGACAGAACTTTTGCACCCACCTAATATATCCTTACTATAATATGCACTGGGTCCTTCCCAGTGCGACGGCAGAGTTTTCTGCGTCCCTCCTATCCTTAACCCCGTCATGAAGGTTCCAATCGTTGAAGGATTCCAGACAAAGGAATGCGAAAATATAAGGGCGCTCAGTGATGGCGAGAGGAGAGGCCAGAAGCCATTATGTCAGCGAGGGGTTTGCTCGCACTATGGGTCCCGGGGCGGAGCGAACATTTTTCAACATTGAGCTAAGCGGCTACCATTTGGCACAGGGGTGTATGTGTGAATGCTGATCACAAAAATATTACATTTCAGAATTACCGTTTACCTATATGCGGTATATAGTTAGTAATTATTCTGGGCGAGGGGTTGTTGTTGTGTTTCTGTCACGCTGCCGCCGATGGCGTACGAAGAACATTGATCGCTTGAGTTATTCTTTACTGTCGTGCTCACGTGCAAGCAGTATTTTATTACTTAATGGAGCTCACGACTTTTATTTGACTCTTCATGTGACATAATTCACAAAAATTAACCTTCTGTGGAGTAGAGCCTTCCGCACAAATATCAGCATAATACCCACTAATTCTGCCTTACAGAACAACTATGCTATAAATTTGACTTCCCCAGCGAAAGGCTGAGCATTCAATATTTTGGTCCGGATGGGCGGCAAAAATCGACGCTCTCTGAAGTGGGGCCTCATTTTGAAAGTTTCATTCTCTTTTCCGCTCAAATCACGCATGTAACCACGAAACCACCTCTTGGGATATTGCTGACAATCTAATTTTGTAAGTCAAAAGTTCTCCTTTCATTAAACCTTGGCATAATGTTGAATATTGAATTTCTTCTTTGCCACGACAGGTTTTTATAGCAACAATTTATTGTGCTGCCCAACGTTTCGGCGGATACGCCGTCCTCAGAGGCCTGGAAGTGAGTCAATCACTTTTATCAAACGTATTATGCCGCTAAATGCCTCGACCAACTCGCACGTTTGACTCGTTCAATGCAACCGCAGTCCAGCGTCCAAGCTCGATCAACTTACCAAGATCCCAGAGATGAGCACGATAGAGGCTCTTTAGGTCGCCTACAGTGTACGGTAACAATAAACAGTCCAGCTGGTTTGGACATGTTTAAATAGCTATAGGCTATCGAAATCACAAAATGATAAGAACGGTTTCAGATCATTCGTCACAGACAACTGTCATTCTTGCTATTTAATTTCGGGTTACGAGCAAGAATGAACGCGGCTTCCAACACTTTTCGAGCAGAGATGTTGTCCTCGATTGCCAGTATGCTGCAATTTATGTCAAAGTCTTCGCCGCCGTGGTCTTCGCTTCTATGTTTCCCCAATGGGCTCACAAGGCTCTGTCTTCTTTTGCTGGCCAGATGTTCATTTACACGTACAAAAAGCGGTCGACCGGTCTCGCCGATGTAAATGGCCCGGCATGTTCGACATTCCAACTGGTAAACTACACCACTTTTTGAGCAATCTCCTGACCTTCCGTTAGTGCACACAACACAATTTCGCGATGTGCAAGCTCTATCGTATAATCGATTTCGCACCAGTTGTTTCTTGATGTTGTCTTGTGGTAAATTCACTAGAACAGCATCATTATCCAACTGTGCTTGCGTAATACATCGTTTGACTGCGTTGGTCACTTTGTCGCATATGAACGGCAAGCATAAAGGAACACGTGTTCGACTTTGGTTGCTTGCGTTCATGTATGTTCGTTTGGAGGCTTTCGATTGCAGCGAGTATCCGTTGTTGGAAGCTATGACGCGTGCCATGTCCAGAGACTCTAATCTCTCACTTTCTCCGCTGCACACACTGCTGGCTGTCTTAAACATGTTGCGTATAACCGCACGTTTCACGGCAGTTGGGTGAGCAGAAGTGGCGTGTAAGATAATGTTCTTGCTGCTCTCTTTCCGATACCATTTAATGTGTACAGCGCCGTTTGCCAACATCACCTGTGTGTTAAGATAGGGTAGCCAGTCGTCGTGTGGTTTCTCTCTAGTTAAGCTAATGTACTGCGATTGTTCATTGAGGGTCTTAAAGCACTCATCCATTTCGGACTGAGTCGAAGTCACAATGAAACAATCGTCTATATATCGACAGTACATTAGGGGACGTCGCGTTAATACAGGCTCTTCTATCTTGCTCATAAAGCAGACAGCAGGAACCGGCGCTAGTCTTTGTCCCATCGCCAGTCCTCTTACTTGTGCGTAAAAATTGCCCGACCATTTAAAGATGTTACATCCAAGGCATTCCTTGATTAGAGCGATGATGCGCACTTTACTGAGTCCGTACGTTTCCATACTTGCAATGTGCGTATCGAGGAGCTCAGAAAGTGCTTGTAGGGCGTCATCATTAGACACATTTGTGTATAATGACTCCACATCAAACGACTCCATTACACAATTCTGGTCGAAATGCGTATTGTGTAATTGTTCAAGAAAGCGGTTGGTGTTCGGTAAATGGGCGGGTATTTTAGTTAAGAGTTGGCTGACAATCTTGCTTAAAAACCATGCAATTCTGTCTGTTGGCCCTCCAACACAACTGATGATTGGTCTAATCTTGCAAGTTGCGGCTGACACATTTTGTGGGTCGGCCGCAACTTGCAAGATTAGACCAATCATCAGTTGTGTTGGAGGGCCAACAGACAGAATTGCATGGTTTTTAAGCAAGATTGTCAGCCAACTCTTAACTAAAATACCCGCCCATTTACCGAACACCAACCGCTTTCTTGAACAATTACACAATACGCATTTCGACCAGAATTGTGTAATGGAGTCGTTTGATGTGGAGTCATTATACACAAATGTGTCTAATGATGACGCCCTACAAGCACTTTCTGAGCTCCTCGATACGCACATTGCAAGTATGGAAACGTACGGACTCAGTAAAGTGCGCATCATCGCTCTAATCAAGGAATGCCTTGGATGTAACATCTTTAAATGGTCGGGCAATTTTTACGCACAAGTAAGAGGACTGGCGATGGGACAAAGACTAGCGCCGGTTCCTGCTGTCTGCTTTATGAGCAAGATAGAAGAGCCTGTATTAACGCGACGTCCCCTAATGTACTGTCGATATATAGACGATTGTTTCATTGTGACTTCGACTCAGTCCGAAATGGATGAGTGCTTTAAGACCCTCAATGAACAATCGCAGTACATTAGCTTAACTAGAGAGAAACCACACGACGACTGGCTACCCTATCTTAACACACAGGTGATGTTGGCAAACGGCGCTGTACACATTAAATGGTATCGGAAAGAGAGCAGCAAGAACATTATCTTACACGCCACTTCTGCTCACCCAACTGCCGTGAAACGTGCGGTTATACGCAACATGTTTAAGACAGCCAGCAGTGTGTGCAGCGGAGAAAGTGAGA